AAGGACCTGCAGTGTTAGGAAAATGAAAGCTGCTCAGCAAAATCAATGGAGTCCCTACTGATGAATCATTCTGTGACTCAGTGTTACTATAATGCTATTAAAGAGGGTCATTAGACTCAAATTATTCATCTTAGATTAGACTTTAACTTTGATGCCTAGGAATGAATATTTTCAAGGTAGGCTTTTCCCTAGCTTGTTGACTGGGTGGGGATCTCAGCATCCACTTCCCAGCTCCTTCCTCCAATAATCCCTATTGATATCATCCCTGTTCTCAGCTGTGAAGCCAGTGACATCTGGGAAGTGAGGCTCTCACAGCATCAAGCCTGCAAGATGGCTGGTCACTCCCAAGGAAAATGAGGTCACCAATGGAGTTTTGATATGAAAAGTGAAGAAAACTGATGAGTCTATCCTTCCCTAGATAGAGAAGCTCAGAATCGGTAAAAAGATCAGGCATCATTTCTAACCACTGATCTCAAATAGTTTTCACATAATTCAGTCTGCTAGATTCCAGGATGTACTTAAGAGTTGTAGAAAACCGGTGAGGGTATTTCCAAGAAAACAGACGATCTCATTGACATCCAGTGGACAGATGTATCATAGCACGGTTATAGAGGGACAGAGGAATGGGAAATAACAGAACCAGGAGGGTACAATCATGCCACCCATCTTCAATTTCCAGTTTTATTTTCTGAAAATGACAAAATGATAAAACTTCTAATAAGCACCATTGAAAAACATTGCCCGGCCGACTTGGGCACGAGCTTAAATATTATTTAAATAATTCCATTTCTTAAAAAATACAGGACCTTTTAGAAACTTGACTCCAGGAAGAAATTTCCCGCATCATATCCAAAATGCTTCCCATCACAACAAATGGAATTTCTGATGGACTTAAAAAAAAAAATGCTATGGGGATAATGGCCGTATAGCACCAGGAGATCGTGCAGGGTCTACAAAGTGAACACTCCAGATTTCAGGGGAGCTGGATGAGGCCCAGCTATTTTGTGTAACTTTGCATTCTGTCCATCACCAATCTGACTATGCGGAGTGATCCCATTTGACCAGCTGTGTGTAAAATAACCCAATCTGCAAAGCCAAGGCCAATAGCAGCAAGTCTATCTGATGAAACCAGTGCAGCAGACTTCTCAAGTGAGTATAATGCCAAAACCAGCACATAATGCATGAAGTAAATTATGTGTGGAAAGGATCAATGTTCAACTGTGAAAAACTAAGACAAACGACATTGAATACAACTCTGAGGGATGTTCTTAATGCCCTTAGGTCCGCTTTGCTGTCATTTCCCCCAACGGTGGACTCAAGCATGAAAAATGACAGATGCAAGAGCTTTCTCTCTGATTTTGATCTATGTCTGCTCTTGTGATGTTTTTGGAAGGTATTTTTAGGCATCTCAAAGGGGAAACAAGCAAGTAAATGCAAAGGGGGAAAAAAACGGACCTTCAAAACCAGGGCAGGAAATCAAATCATTACTTTAACGTCAAATTTTGGCATCAAATGCTTTGGTCATACAATACTGTCTCTGTGGTTCTGGCTGTTTAGCACTAAACACCCAGGTATAAAAGGTAGGCTTGTTGTAGGTTTATTTTTTTTTTTTCCATTTAAGTTCTGACAAAACAGTTCACCATCTCCCTGCACAAATTTGAGAGAGAGAGAAAAAGAGAGCGAAAAAGAGAGAGGTGGCTTGCTTTTTTTTTCTTTTTTTTTTCTTTTTAATAATAATATGGAGTAATCTATAAGTCTACAGGAACAGAGAAATCTAAGATGGCCGCTCAGCCTTGGAATGTACATGTTTTGCAGCAAAGTTGTTGAAGAACCTTCCTCTGGCACAGATTGTTCTTTTTCACTAGCATACAGAAGCCTCCTTCGGCCCAGGACTCTTCCGTTGCTTTTCCAGGAAGTCAGCAAGACAGAGGGGGAGGTGAGGACGAGGGCAGCATGATGTACACGTGGAAGAAGGTTTTGATTGGCCAGAGAGGCAGATGGGGGGATTGGAAGAGATCATTGAGGAGCAGTCAACAAGGAGGAAATTGGGTCCACGCAAAGTGATTTCAGTCAACAGCATTGTTTTTCAAGAAGAGAGATTGCGGTCCAGTGGTGAATGTGATTGGTGTCCATTTATGAAAGGAAAAAAGGATTCGAAAAAAAGAATAAATTAGAAATCAATAACAATATAAGTAAGGAATTTGTCTTCTCAGAATTACCTAGAGCAGAGAGTATACAGTCATTTATACTATATTTCATTGAGTCCAAGACACTGGATTTAAGATGCACCATTATTTTACGTACTATCGAGAAAAGAACGTGCTTCATTCATCTTATTACATGGTGACCCAAGAGCCTCCTCAATTAGAATATTAATGTTATGCTTATGGAATATTGGTTAAATATTCTATAACAGGCTGTTTTGTTGCTGTGCTTATAAAGAAACTATTCCAAACTATGTAGTTCAACACATGTAGTAGTAACCATGTACCTAAGTCCGTGACAAAGTCACAGGCAAGGACAGCTGTATCACATCAACCTAGCGGACAAAAGTGGCTGCAGGCTGCCATAAATTATAAGATGCATCTGATTCCAGGGATGTTAAAATGTTAAGAAAAAAAAAAGTATGTCTTAGAATCATTGAAATATGACAGTTGAAAGAGAATAAATCACAAACTCATAAATGCAATTGCTATGTGATTTGAAAAGCCTGGTAAGCCATCGGTGATTTCGGGATTTAGCTGACCTAAAATGGGCTCATTACGAGAGACGGTTCTTCATTTTCTACTCTTTCCCACAATCCTGGATGCACCCCTTCTACCGGCGTGCCATCTGGCATAACTTATCCCAGGTTTAGCATGGTTTAGAGAAGGCAGTTAAAGCATCACAGATGTGGCCATGCCTGGCACCAGTGCTGTGGATGAAAATTTCAAGCGTCTGTGGATCTTTTGAGTCCAGAAAATCTTCCTGTTTCCTGTCACCGATTTCAAAATTCTGGTCAGATCCAGGTATGGTACCATGTTTTTAACTAAAAAGTGATACTTACATGGTCCCTGAAGTGCCACCACCCAACCCTGTATCCCTGCGCTGTGTGGTGAGAACACAGAGCCTGAGTGGGTCTGGCCCATTCCTGCTGGACTAATCCTATGGCCAAGAAGCCATGAAGACGCAAAGTCACCTATGATGCTCTGTGGAAATGAGCCCGTTGATGATGCTCTAACACGTCTCATCATGTGCCACGTTCTTTCAGATGTCTTTTTGAAATTCCTCATAGGAAGTTTTAGAATGACCATACAAGGTCAGTGGTATTAGCCGCCTCATTTTTATAGGTGAGGGAAGCGAGGCCCAGAGAAGTTTATCACCTGCCCAAGACCTAGAGCCCAGAAAGGAACGACAGTATTCTGACTCCTGAATCCATACTCCCCCAACTAGAGCACTGTTCTACCTCTTGTGAAATTTCTAGAAGAGGGCCCATTCAAAGGAAGGCAGAGAATAAACCAAGGGAAATGCCCTTGTCCAGGAAGACTCTTCTAAGTATAGAGTTTTTTATTATTCTATTTTCAAATAATCCGAAGGTACTTAAAAATAACAGTGGTTCAAAATGATGTCTTTCTAGGTCACTGAGATGTGTGTCTGCATAAAGTCCAGACTCAAATTTTAGGGCCCCCTCTGTGTGAATTATACCGAGACTCAAAATTCACAGAATGTTAAAGTTGGAATAATTTAGCTTCATTCAGTTATAAATGGGGAAGCTGAGGCTAGAAAACTGAGAGAACTTGGCATTTGTCGGGTGGTCAGGGAGAATAGAGTAAGCCAGAGATTCCCAAATCTGGCTGCACATCAGAAACACTTGAGAAGTTTCTAAAAATATCCATACTTAGCACCCTCAGACCAATTTCCCAGGAATCTTCAGGAAAGGTGTGTGGTCCTGGCATTTTAGTTGAGAACCATGTATGCAAAGAAAAAAAAATGGACCAACACTTAGAAGTCTTAAGTTCTACATTGGGTCTATCATTAATTCCTTGCCTCTCAGGTTGAATAAAAGATTCAGGTACCATTTGATTATAATTTACTTGTCAAAAATTTAAGTAATCCAAAAAGGAGTGGCAATAAACTGGCATCTTCACATGATAGAATTTTATGCTGTAATGAAAAATGAAGGTTCTGAGGACTTTTTAAACATAGGATGATGTTTATGTCTAACACTTAGTACAAAAAGCAGGATACAAACCTCCATGTACATGGTATTTTAAAACATCTTGTCAAAAGTACATACGGTGAGAGACGAGAAAGACACACATGAAAAAACTAATTAGAAAATATTGCCTATTATATTCTAAGGATATTGCATTGTGGAAAAAGTAAATCTATGGAGACAGTAAAATAAATTAGTAGGTTCTGGGGCGGGGGGACAGGAGGGAGGGAAAGGCGGAACACATAGGCTTTTTAGGGCAGTGAAAGTGTCCTGTATGATTATTACAGTGGTGGATATGTATCCTTCTTCATTTGTCCAAACTCATAGAATGTACATCACCAAGAGGGAACCTTGATGTGAACCATGAGCTTTGGGTGATAACGGGGTGTCAGTGAAGGGTCACTGATTATAACAAATGTAACTAGTCCGGTGTAGGACGCGAATAATGGGGGAGCGTGTGTGTGTGTGTGTTGCAGGGGTCGGTTGGCATATATAGATCTCTGTACTTTCTGCTCAATTTTGCTGTGACCCCTAAAACTCTAAACCCCAAAGTTTGCTAATTAAAACAAATAAAACAAACATAACTAGGGCCATCTTGGCCAGTGGAACTACAGGTGACTTCTTTTAATTAAAAAAAAAAAAAAACAAAAAACCAAACCAAAAGCCACTGAGGGTGTGAGTTCAAGAAGAATGAATGCCAGCAAGATATTGGGCACGTTCTAGCTGACTCATGCTTGATAGTTTATGTGGAAATATACTGGATCTCAACAGAAAACGAGGCTGGAGAGGAACAGTCTGTACTCACCGTCCTTGCAGATGGCTCCCATCTGACACGTCCCGAAGTCTAAGAGATACCCGCTGAGGCAGCTCGTACAGTCCTTGAAGCCCGGACCGTTGCACGTCAGGCAGCTAGCATCACATCTACGGGGAAAACGTACAGTTCGTGCTTTCACGTCAGGCTCGAGAAAAGACGTTTGCTACCCACCTCTTACGGACGTTTTAAACTCCATTCCCCCTTGGAAAATGGCCCGGAAGCGTCTGGTTGCTGTAATTGCTACCTTTGCCGACATTAAAGCCCAGCAGGTAGACGGATTTTAAAAGACAGAACGCACTGTACTGGAAACCAAAATATTACTTTAAAGATTTCGTTTTTTTTAAAGAGTTTATTTATTTATTTGACAGACAGAGATCACAAGTAGGCAGAGAGGCAGAGAGAGAGAGAGAGGAGGAAGCAGGCTCCCTGCAGAGCAGAGAGCCCGATGGGGGGCTCGATCCCAGGACCTGGGGTCATGACCTGAGCCAAAGGCAGAGGCTTTAACCCGCTGAGCTACCCAGGAGCCCCAACTTTAAAGGTTTTAAAGTGCTCCTGGGACGGAAAGGAAGCATTTGAGAGAAGCTGGGTGAACGCTGCAGGACAGAGTCCGCAGGAAAAATCTGGGAAGTCATGTCAGCATAGTAGCTGTTTGGGTCCAGCAAGGAGGCCGGCGCTCCCGGGCTGGGCGGAAGGCGCGGGACACTTACTTCTTGCAGGATTTGTGTCCGTTCTCTGCCGAGCGGTCCAAGTAGTAGCTGAGGCTACAGGTCTGCACGCAGCGCCCGTCCTCCATGAAGTAGGCTTCGGCGCAGCTGCTACACGCGTCCGCGCCCGGCCCTTGAAAGCAAGACAAAGGCGGGAAACAGAGACAAAATCTCAGAACAGCTCGCACGAGGGGCTGTGGCCTGTGTGGCTGGTGACAAGGGCACGAATACGTTGTCATTTTAAGAGTCACAATTTCGTATTGTGCTTTCCCTCACATTCTATGGGGAAAAAAAAACAAAACACTCACTCCCCGTTTAAATTGAACCCATTTGCCAAAACCATCAAATGCCCTCGGAAGGAGGCGGTGGTCTCCCCGTGGCTATTCTGAGAATCCAGGCAGGAGTCCTGGAGGAGAACTGGGTTTCTCCGGCATTTATTTTAACACTATCTGGTGGGGCTGCGGGAGTGAAGGCTGACGCCAGGGCAACAAGCACCAAACCAGAGCCAGAGGAATAAACCACAGGACGGGGGGCAAGATACCAGCACAGGCGGCACAGAAGCGGTGACAGGGCTGGCAGTCGTGGCCGTTGAAGTACTGGCCGTCCTCGCAGGCGACGGAGCACTGGGACCCCTGCAGGCTGAAGACAGACACACGGACGCTGTGATCGAACCAACGAGGTCATGACTCCCCGGCTCCCCGTGCAATGCTGCCGCACCTCCCCGAGACCCATGGCTTGGCCAAGCTTCCAAGCAGGGGAAATCGCTGCGCACCCCTTCTCTTCTCCTTCCCGATGCCTATCCTGCTTCTCTGTGCCTGTGATGATGTCTCCAGCCTGTATGCGTGCTCCGAGCTCCGTGGACCGTTCTCTTCATCTTCAGGCTGGCCGGCGCCTCCCTTCTTTGCTCTGCACCTTAAACCTCCCCACCCTGGGGGTGCTTAAAAGGATCTTACTCACAAAACTCATTACTTAGCAATACGTCTGACAACTCTGATAGCCCTATGATGTAATAAACTTAAAAATTGTTTTGTTATTATAGCAAAACAGTAGGAACACGGGGTAACATGAGTTCCAACTGAATAAAGGGCACAGTGATCTCTAGCTAGCCCGCTCTCCTGGGAGTAGCTACTTTTGTTTCTATTTCTGGTTTTAGTTCTTCTGCTGGTTCCCATCAGAACCACACCACTGCAGTACACTTTGCCTCTATTTCCTGATTTATTTTAAATGCTAATGAATAACGTTGTAAAATGACCTGCCTATGCTGATTCCCCAAACATCCCAACTTTTCTTAATTGTATTATTGTTTCCAGGTGTTCTCTCTACCCTATTTTTCTCTTTCTGGCGCTCTTGGTATCTATTACAGTTGCCAGAATGTTGAATGAGGAATGCGTATTTTTTCTCTTTTCTAATATCGATTATGATAGTTTTCATAGTGAATAGATCAGTTCTTAAAATTAAAAAACCTAGAATTTAGGACCTTTAATCTACAAATATTGCTCACTGAATCAATAGTGTGATTGCAGCTACAGATTAGCACCTGTAATCCTACGTCACCAAAGAGATGATCCTACAAGATGGGTATCTAAGCAACAGGTTCAATGGTTTTTATTTAAGCAACAGGTTCAATGGTTTTTATTTAAGCAACAGGTTCAAATGGTTTTTACTCTCTGAGACTCTATATTGTTCCAGTGCACATCTTAGTTGACTGTGCTTTGTATTTGGATCACACTAACTTGGAAAAGTAGAATTTATTTTTCTCTATTGGAAAGAACAAAAACAGATAAAAACAGATCCCAAACAGTCCTGTTAACATTTTAATCCACTTCCTTCCAGTATTTTATGTGTATGTATTTCTGTTTGTTCTTAGCCACTCTTTAAACAATGATGATAGTAACAATAATAATTTAAATAATAGATCTCTTGAGGCAAAATGGTCAACCCTCAAAGCCTCTAAGGAAAGGGCAGGGAGTCTCAGGGACACAGAGGGCAGCGTAACTCAAAGTGTACTCCATTCACAGACCTGACTGGCCAGGGAGCGATGTCATTTAAAGAGCCAGTAAGAGAAAATCTCTGCCCTTCCCATGGAACTGGAAAAAAGGACATTGTATCAAATGTATCGTTTTGTGGGAGGCAATAGGACCGCCAAAAAACTTATCAAAGTTGAAAAAAAGCTGCCTCATATTTCTAGTAAAGGGCATTCCTTCTGAGGTTGGCATGTGTTGAGAGAGAGGCTGTGTTGTGTGAGGAGGGAATGAATGTTAAGTGGGTTGTGCAATTGAGAGCAGGCTCTGTGTGTACTCCGAAGCTTTCTGGTGCTTCCAAAATACAGCGGTGGTGTGGCTAACCTGCCTGGTACAGGGGACACCTGGGTTCTTTCTGTGATCCATTAGCTGGGTTGGAATCCTGCTGTCCCACATGCTTGGGTGCCTGTGGCTTCCGAGCACTTAAAAATGTGGTTAGTAAGGCCCAGGAATGGGACTTTAAACTTTATTTATTTTTAGTTAATTTCGGTCTACATTTTACAAATTGGCCCTCGGTTCAGTTACTGGCAAAACTGAGTAAGTTTGGCACAAAGCTGGCTATACAAAATCTCCTTTGACTAAATTTTGTAAAATCCAAGTACAGAACAAGTATTTCTCATAAAAAATTACTGTCCAAGTTGAGATGTGCATTGTGCTTTCTGGGATCAAATGCACCCCAGATTTTGGTATAACAACAAAAAAGAACATAAAACATCTCGCTAGGTCTTTTCATTGATTACATATTGATTCTATTGAAACAGTAATATTTTGGATATATTTGATTAATATTTTTTTAAATTTTATTTTTTTTTTATTTTATTTTTTTAAAGATTTTATTTATTTTTCAGCGACAGAGGGAGAGCGAGCGAGCACAGGCAGACAGAGGCAGAGGGAGAAGCAGGCTCCCCACCGAGCAAGGAGCCCGATGTGGGACTCGATCCCAGGACGCTGGGATCATGACCTGAGCCGAAGGCAGCTGCTTAACCAACTGAGCCACCCAGGCGTCCCTGATTAATATTTTTTTAAATGTTACCCATATCTTTTTACTTCCTTTAATGTGGCTACTGGCATATATGAAATAAAATGAACATATAAGGCTCTCATATTTCCACTGGAGAGTGCTGGTTAATGAACTCTGTAAAATGTTCCCTAAGAACCACAGTTGACTGAACTCTTGAACAACATGAGTTTGAACTGCATGAGCCCACTTCTAAGTGGATTTTTTTTTTTTATAAATATAATACAGTACTCTATATTTTCTTCTTCTTCTTTTTTTTTTTACTACTTGGTAATTTATTTATTTATTTATTAAATTTCTTTTCAGTGTAACAATATTCATTGTTTTTGCACCACACCCAGTGCTCCATATGCAATAAGTGGCCTCCTAAATACCTGGCTCCCCCAACCTCCTACCCCCCGTCTCTTCAAAACCCTCAGGTTGTTTTTCAGAGTCCATAGTCTCATGGTTCACCTACCCTTCCAATGTATTTTCTTTATAATTGTCCTAACATTTCTCTAGGCTTTCTTGTAAGAATACAGTGTAGAATACATAGAACACAAATGTATTGACTGTTATTTGTAAGTTTTCTTTTCAACCGTAGTAATTGGTAGTTACGTAGTTAAGAGTAACTTAAGGACTTAAGACTTATATGTGGTTTTCATCTGCATGAGGTTGGGGCCCCTAATCCCTGAGTTGTGCAAGGGTCAACTGTATAGAAAATAGTTGTAAATAATCTTTTATTTCTCATGGACCAATTATGTGTCTGTTACTGGAATAAGATTTCACAAATATTATCACAGTTGATCCTTTTCATCATTCAGCAATGTGGGGGTTAGTATCTCATTTTATAGATGACAAAACTGAAGTTCAGAGTGGCTCAGTGACTTGGCCAGGATCCCACAGCTGACTAACAGAAGAGGGTTTGAGCCCACATCTACCTTGTCTCACTTCTTGTCTCTGCTCCTTCTGCAAGAAGAATTAGGGGGCTGACTAGACTGATATTTATCAAGGCCCAAAGTCTTGAGATGAAAGGTACTAAGCCAATTACTACTGAATGCATTTATGAAAAAAACCCAGGGTTAAAAAAAAGATATATTAGAACATCATTTTTATTTAGATTAAGGTTTCATTTGTTTGAGAGAGAGACGGTCAGAGCATGAGTAGGGGGAGGGACAGAGGGAGAAGGAGAAGCCGACTCCTCTGGTTCAATCCCAGGACCCCCAAGGTCATGACCTGAGCTAAAGGCAGATGCTTAACTGACTGAGCCATGCATGTGCCCTGATGCTCTGATATTAAATATACAGAATCACCTGCCCGGAGCCTGCTGAGTTCACTCGCCAATTAAAGGCAGAAACAGAGGTATTCTCAATACTTAAAAAAGATCTGCATGCAGCAGATTTCAGGCTCTCTACAAACTCAGGGTCCAACTCCTTACCCAGCAGAGGATGGTCTGACCTTCTCTGTGGAAATCCAGGGGCTACCTAGTTCATGCGAGCTGTGTCTTGTTTTCTTGCGGAAGCTATCAGATATCTGGCTTTAGCAATGAGCAAGTCGTCCAGTTCAGAAAAACATCGCCAGGTGTTAAATCTATGTGCATACCGGATCATAATGGAACCAAGCCTGAGGTACTTAAGATAAGAGCATGATTGGCTATATGGAGAGAATAATACAGATAAGGGAAGAGTTTCTGACCATCAAAGGAATGAATCAGGAGGATTAAATATAATTCATTGGTATTACCTACACATTAATCCTTGACGGGGATGCTGTGCTGGCCAAAAAGCACTGAGAAAGCCTCTCAAAAAGCCGTTTTTACTTATGTGTATCAGAGCCATCTTTTCTGAAGAGAATTTTCCTTGGTGTGTGAACCTCCCTTAGCGAAGATGGCATCCAATTTGTCACATATAATGGTAAAGATAATGCAAATAGCAAATCAGGTGTTTGAATGGGAGTCAAACCAAGGGTGACGGTAAGAGGATTACTTTTTTACATGTTGTGTTTATACTGAGAAACTCCTTGGGCTGTGTGACTTAACAAGATCCTTCACTCTCTTACCTTAACCCATCCCTGCATTCTGTACAGTTGTGGAATTCAGTACATGTCTTGCAGTTTTCACTGCATTTCCGGCAAAGATTTTTCTCTGTTAAAAACAGAACAAAAAAACCCAACACATACACACAAAAGGAACAGTTATAAATCAGTTGGTCATTGGATTCCATAAGAGCAGGTGAAGATGTTCTGATGTTTGCTAATGTACACGACAGTACACATACGTGACCTTGAGCCGAATATTTCATGAACAGCCCCACATTGGACGTTTGCTCTCACTTTCCAGCAACGCGAACAAAGGTGGGAAAATGCAGGCTGGGACATGCCTCACATCTTCCATTTTGCAGACAAAGGAACAACAGCCCGTTGACTTCTTAGTTGAATAGCTGATTGGTTTCCCCCCCCTCTTCTTTCTCTCTCTCCCAAGTGGGGTTTCCTTACTTCTGACAATGACCATCCCACTAACAAAGACGCTGGGGCAACGCTAGGATGTCAAGGTTGAGAAGCAGTGTCTGGGGCTGTGGGATGGAAAGGTGGGCCCCCATGCTCACAGTGTGTAGGAGCACTCTGAAGAACGCCGCCAGAAAAGGGAATCTGCATTTAAGATGGCAGGGTAATAAGGGGTGATAATGTATTTCTTGTATTGTCTAGAATAGTGTTGCATACTTTATAGCGGCTGTGACATTGATATGTTACTATAGTTCAGATACGTCTCCATTCTGGAGAATAGAAATATACTGGATTAGAGCAAATACACCATGAATATGGTTTTCCTGTTTAATCCCAAAGACCGATCGATCCCCATTGGAAAAAAATGGCAAATGTACGCTTATGCAATAGTGAAAAACGGTGATTCTCAATACCATCTCTGAGCTGCAAGTGAATTATAACCATGTGTATGTGTAGGATTGAATGAGCTTTGTTCACAGGCTTCTTGTCCTCCACCTACTCCTTAAATGTTGGCGTTCTTCAAGGTTCCATAGAGGAATACAGCTTTAATGGATTCCTATAAGGACCTCCCGAAGGTCCACTTCCTTTCTCAAGTCTAAGCCTCCCCTACCCTTCCCCATGAAATACGAAATGCTCTATAATCTTATGGTAGTCCCCACATGGTCTTCCCTTCACTCTGCCGTTGAGATTCCTGGACAAGGCACAGGATCTGAAGTCCAAGGACCTAGATTTGAATTCTGCTTTTAGTATTTCTGGTGGGCAAGTTCAAGGTCTCTGTTCTCTGCTCCACAGACATTCCAGTGATGCTGACCTTTCAGGTAACTATCTTGAGGGGATAATGAAATTACTCAGGGGAACTGTGTGAATTTGAAAGCACTGTAAATGTGTTGACCGTAATTATTACCAGTCATGATCATATCTGATCACTGTGTCTTCAGGAGGAAAATATAACAAAAGTCAGTTACACGGAAGGAGAGAGAAGCAGAGACCACCCGTATCAGCAAAGCCACTGTCTCAACAGTCTTCCTCCACTACAAACGTCCCAGGCTCTGGGGACACGACGGACTCTCAGTTATCTCTATCCTGTTATGCACCATCTCAGCCAAATTTCTTTGCCAAGATTCTGCCTTCTGGATAGAATTTTGAATTTTTTCTACAAGAAATACTGCTTATTTCTGGGGATCCCTCACACTCCCCTCCCCACTCTTATTTTTCCTTTCTCTATCAGGATGATGCTCATGTTCCAAATTTTTGGGGAAAAGGAACTACTTGGAAATCCTACCCACCATTCTATAGGGTAAGGTGAGACTCCATTTGCCTTCTGGAAAAAATGCTTGCCTTTGAGTCAAGGGACTCTGACTTCTTAAGAAAATTGTTGCCTAATTTCTGAAACACAACTCTTACTCATTTACACTTGGGTCTTCTTTCTTAGGTCGTGCAGAAACAGGAGATAATCAGCGTCGTCATGCACCATGGTGTGACACGCTTGTTAGTTACCGAGAATTCAGAAATAAAGCAGAAGGGTGCTACCGGAGCACTAACAGGTAGGAAAGCCCAAGGATTACTTAATTCTCCAGTGAATGTACCTTTGTTTGTTTCCTAATGATGACTGATTAGGGCCCAGACTCCTGAAGTGAAGTGACGTGTTCATTTACAGATTTTTGTTTGTTGCAAAAGATTTGTGTGTGGAAAAAGCCCCTCAAATTCGATTTGTATTGCCTGGTAGGAAATTATTCATTTCTTAATTGAAGTATAATTAACAATGTTATATTAGTTGCAGATATAGAATAGATTGATTTGATGATTCCATATATTACTCACTGTTGACCATGGTAACTGCAGTCCCCATCTGTCACCGTGCAGTGTTATTACAGTATTATGGACGATACTGCCTAGCTGTACTTTTCACCTCTGTGACTTCCTTATTTGATAACTGGAACTTTGTACCTCCCCTTTATCTTTTCTACCCATCCCTCCATCCACCTCTGCTCTGGCCACCACCAGTTGTTCTCTGTATTTAAGGGTCTTTATTATTGTTTGTTTGTTTGCTTCCACATACAAGTGAAATTCTGTGGCATTTGTCTTTCTCAGTCTGATTTATTTCACTTAGCATGATACCCTATAGCTCCATCCGTGTCGTCACTAATGGCAAAATCTCACTCTCCTATATGGCTGGGTAATATTCCACTGTGTTTGTGTGTGTGTATGCCACTTTTTTACAAGTTTTTAATTCCAGTGTAGATAATATACAGTATATTAGTTTCAGGTGTACAATACGGTGATTCAGCACTTCCGTATACCACCCAGTGCTCATCAGGACAAGTGTACACCGTAATCCCCATCACCTGTTTCACTCTTCCTCCCACCCCCCTCTGGCAACTATCACTTTGCTCTCTATAGTTAAGAGTCTGCTTTTTGGGTTTGTCTCTTTTCCCTTGGACCATTTGTTTTGCTTCTTGGAGTGAAATCCTGTGGTATTTCTCTTTCTCTGACTGAGCATTATACTCTCTAGCTTCATGCATGTTGTTGCAAATGGCAAGGTTTCATTCTTTTTAATGGCTGAATAATACTCCATTGTGTATGTGTGTGTGTATGATGAATGGATAATCCTTTATGCGTTCATCTATCAGTGAACACCTGGGTTTCTTGCATGCCTCGGCTATTGTAAATAATGTTGCAATAAACAAAGGGGTGCATACATTATTTTTAATTGGCATTTTTTGTATTCTTTGGGCAAATTCCCATAGTGGGATTCCTGGATTTTATGGCATTTGATTTGAATCTTTTGAGGAGCTGCCACCCTGTTTTCCACAGTGGCCGCACCAGTTTACAGTCCCACTGCAGTGCATTAAGGTTCTCTTTTCTTTCCATCCTTGCCAACACTTGTTACAATTTGTTTCTTGATACTGACTAGAGTTCTTTCTTGAGAGCTATTCTAAAATGTGTGAGGGGTCTCTCCTTGTGGTTTTGATGTGCACTTCCCTGATGATGAGTGATGCTAAACATCTTTTAATATGTCTGTTGGCCATCTGTGTATCTTCTTTGGAAAAACTTCTATTCAGATCCTCTGCCCATTTTTTTTTTTAATTGCATTGTATTTTGGGTGTTGAGTCGTATACGTTCTTTATAGGTTTTAGATATTAACCCTTATCAGATACATCATTTGCAAGTATCTTCTCCCATTCACCAGGTTGTTTTTTTATTTTGTTGATGGTTTTCTTTAGTGTGAAAAAGCTTTTCATTTTGGTGAAGTTCCTATATAGTGGCTGTTTTTTCCTGGGCCTGAAGAGACCTATCCATACATACGTTGCTAAGGGCAATGTTCCAGAAATTACTGCCTATGCTTTCTTTTACGACTTTTATGGTTTCAGGTCTCCCATTTAGGTGTTTATTCCATTTTGAATTTATTTTTGTGTATGGGGTAAGGAAGTGGTGCCGTTTCCTTCTCTTGCATTCAGCCGTCCAGTTTTCCCAGCACCATGTACTGAAGAGACCATCTTTTCTCCATTGTGTATTCTTGCTTCCTTTGTCATAGAATAATTGAACAAATAGATGTTGGTTTATTTCCGGGGTTTCTATCTTGCTCCATTGATCTGTGTCTAATTTTTGTTCCAGCGCTATGCTGTTGTGATTACTATACCTTTGTAGGCGATCTTGAAATCCGGGATTGTGATACCTTCAGCTTTGTTCTTCTCTCTCAGTATTGTTTTGGCTACTCAAAGTCTTTAGTGGTTCTATACAGAATTTAAGATTATTTGCTGTAGTTCTGTGAAAAATGCTTTGGTATTTTGAATAGAAATTGCAATGCATCTGTAGATTGCTTTGGGTAGTATAATAATATTCTTCCAATCCATGAGCATGGTGTATCTATCTACTTGTTCGTGTCACCTTGAATTTCTTTCATGGGTGTCTTACAGTTTTCAGGATACAGGTCTTTTACCTCCTTGATTAAATTTATTTCTAGGTATCTTATTCTTCCTGGTGCAATTTACAAATGAGATTGTTACGTTCACTTCTTTTTGCTACTTCATTATTTTGTATCTTGAAACTTCACTGAATTCATTTATCAGTTCCAATAGTTTTTTGGTGAAGTCTTCAGCATTTTCTATGTATAGTATCATGTTATCTGCAAATAGTCACAGTTTTACTTCTTCCTTACCAATTCATATGTCTTTGATTTCTTTTTCTTGTCTGCTGCAGCTAGAATTTCCAATATTATGTTGAATAAAAGTGGTGAGAGTGGACATCCTTGTCTTGTTTTTGTCTTAGAGGAAGAGTTCTCTGTTTTCATTATTGAGTATGAGGTCAGTTGTGGGTTCATCAAATACAGCTTTTATTATGTTGAGGTATGTTCCCCTGAACCCCACATTTTTGAGAAGTTTTAATACGAATGCATGTTGTATCTTGTCAGATCCTTTTTCAGCATCTGTTGAGATGATCATACATTTTTTTTATTCTTCCTCGTTTATGTGATGTCATATTGATTAGTGAATATTGAACCACACTTCCCTCTCTGGAATAGATCCCACTTGATCGTCCTAAATGTTTTTCTTTAAATGTACTATTCAATTTGGTTATTCTTTTGTTAAGGATTTTTGCATCTGTTATCATCAGAGATACTGGCCCGTAGTTTTCTTTTTATATAAGGTCTTTGGCTGGCTCTGGGATCAAGGGAATGCTGACCTCATAGATGATTTTAGAAGTTTTACTTCCTCTTCTATTTTTTGGAATCATTTGAGAATAGGTATTAACTCTTGTTTAAATGTTTTGTAGAATTCACCTGTGAATTCATCTGGTCCTTAATTTTTGTTTGTTGGGAGTTTTTAACTGTTGATTCAATTTCATTACTAGTAATTGGTCTGCTCAGATTGTCTTTTTCTTCCTGATTTAATTTTGGAAAATTGTAGGTTTCTGGGAATTTATCCATTTCTTCTAGATTGTCCAATTGTTTGGCAGATAATTTTTCAATGTTTTCTTATAATTCTTCGGATTTCTGTGATATTATTTCCCCTCCTTCATTTCTGACTTTGAGTCTCCTCTCTTTTCTTGATAAGTCTGTTTAAAGATTTATCAGTTTTGTTTTCTTCCTGAAGAACCAGGTCTTAGTTTCATTTATCTTTTCTTTTTTTTTTTTTTTTTGGTCTCTATTTCATTTAAATCTGCTCTAATCTTTATTATTTCCTTCTAGTGGCTTTGGACTTTGTTCTTCTTTTTCTAGTTCCTTTAGGCTTAAGGTTAGGTTCTTTACATATTTTTCTTGTTTTTTTGAGTCCCCTAATAGCACTATAAATTTCCCTCTTAGAAATGCTTTTGCTAATTCCTAAAGAGTTTAGACTATTGTCTTTTCACTTTTTTCCATGCATTTTTGATTTCATCTTTTTTTTTTTTTTTCATGGACTTTGGTTAATTAGCATGTTGTTTAACCTCCATGTATCTGGGTTTTTTTTTCCTTCCATTTTTCTCTTGTAACATTGATTTCTACTTTCATACCATTTAAGTTGGAAACATGCTTGATATGATTTCAGTCTTCTTAAATACAGTGAGACTTGTTTTATGGCCTAACATGTTATATATACCAGAGAATGTTTCATGTGCACTTGAATGTGTATTGCTACCCTGAGTTGTTCTTTTTCCCACTTCAATTTGCACGGCTTATGTTTTCTCATCTCTTCACTTGCAGGATGTGTCCTTATGTGTGAAGTGAGTCTCTTGTAGGCAGCATATAGATGGGTAATATTTTCTTATTCATTCTTATTCATTCACTGTATGTCTTTTGATTGAAGTGTTTAGTTTATTTACATTGAAAGTAGTTTTTGGAGTTCTTCCTTTTTCCCTTGCTTACTTTCCTTGTGAGCTGACAGTTTTCCTTAGTGATATGGTTGGATTCTTTCTCTATTTCTTTGTGTATATCACAGGTCTCTGAGTTGTGGTTTCCACTGGGTTCTATATTGAGTTGAGGGTTGCTTGAGTTCAACACATTGTAAAACTACTAAAATTAACTCCCACTTCCATGTTTTATGTATGTGATGTTTTATATCTCCCTTGTCTAATTTTTCTAGATACTGATTGTATTACTTTGTGTTTTAAACTCCACAGTGGTTTTATAAGTGATTATTTTTACTCTGTTTAGCTTTTACCTCTAAAATATTTCTGCTTTTATAAGTTTTTCTTTACACGATGGCCTATTCTTTCCATTTAAAGAATTCCCTTTAAGATTTCTTGTAAGCCTGATTTAGTGGGATGAACTCCTTTAACTTTTCTTCTTCAGGAAAACACTGTTCTCTCCTTCTGTTTTGAATTCTGTACTTTCTGGGCAGAGTATTCTTGGTTGTAGGTTTTTTTTTGTTTGTTTGTTTTAGCACTTTGAATAAAGCATGCTACTCCTCTCTGGCCTACAAAGTTTCTGTTGAAAGTCAGCTGATAGCCTTATTTGCCTTCCCTTGTATCATCACTTTTTGCCATTTTAATTATTGTGTGTCTTGCTGTGGACCTCTCTGGGTTCATTCTGGTAGGGGTTCTTCTTCCTGGACGTGGATGTTGCTTCTTTCCCCAGGTTCGGGAAAGAAGGTTTTCAGCTATTATTTCTTCAAATAAGTTTTTTGCCCCTTCTTCTCTCTTCTCCTTCTGGGATCCCCAAAATGTGCATGTTATTATGCTTGATGATGCCACAGAGTTCCCTTAACCTATTCTCATTTTTTATTCTTTTTTCTTGCTGTCAGCTGGGTTGTTTTCCATTACTATCTTCCATACCACTGATGTCTTCTTTGTATCTTCTGAGCTACTGTGGATGCCATTTAGTGTATTTTTATTTCAGTTATTAAATTTATCAGCTCTGGTTTTTTTGTTTGTTTGTTTTTACATTTTCTAGGTCTCACTGAGATCCTTGGCTCTTTTCTCAAGTCTAGTGAGTATCTCAGTGATAATTACTTTGAATCCTTTATCACACATATTGTGTATTCCCATTTCATTTGGCTGTTTTACTGTGATTTTGTCTCTTTTTCATCTGGGACATATTCCTCCGATCATTTTATCTCTCGGTGTTTGTTTTTAAAGTAGTAGGACGGTCAGCTATGTCTCTTGGTCTTGAAAGTAGTGGCCTTGTTTTCAAAAGAGCTCCTGTGGTGTCCTATAATGCAGCCATACCCTGGTTACCAGAAAACCAGGCATTCCATGGGTGTCCTTGGTGTGGGCTCTGTGTGCCTCCCTATTGTGGCTAAGCTGCAACTGCCTTCAGCCCAGCCCACCACAGTGATGCCCTCTGCCTGCTCTCAGTGTCCTAGGTAGGGCTGAGGGCGGTCTAGAACAACGACAGGCTTGGTGAGTAGGGCCAGCAGGGAGCCCAGCTGTCTGCACTTAGTCCCTCTGGCTCAGTGACGGGTACACTCATGGGTAGGGCTTGTTTCTTGCGCAGCCAGCTGTGAGCTCCACTGCAGGGACTGCAAGTGTGCTGTTAGAGCGGCTTCTCTCCCACTCCCCAGGGCGTGAGGCAGTTTGGAGTGGCACCCTCCAAGTGGGTATGGTGGGGCAGGAGCCACTTTGAAGGGAGGACTGCCAGTTGGCGTGGATGGGGAAGAGCATATAGCGCTATAGCAAAGTAGACGGAGAGTGTCAGCGCTACCTTTCACCAACATCTAGCTGGCTAGGGCTTAGGGACGGGGTGTTGGGGAGAGGAATGCCATCTACCAGCACTTTCTTTCTAGAGAAATATTCTGTGCCTCCCTGCCCGGGACAGATTAGTCAATATCCTGTGCCCAGGACAGATTAGTCAATGTATCTCCTTCACTTAAAATCGTAGATACTTCTCAAACTGCTTCTGTTGTGCTGTCTGGGCTGTGTTATTTAGTATGCTGGATCTTTAAGAATGATGGAGACTCCATTTCCTATTGCCTTCAGGCTCCCCTGGAACTAAGGCCCACTAGAGTTAAGCTCTCCTGGTTTCTAAAGCCAGACATGGTGGGAGGGGGAACTCCTCTTCCTAGTGCTGGGCATGCCCAGTGTGGAGTCAGATCCTCTCCTCCACACTCGTGATGTCCCATCCTGTTTGTAGTTAGTGGCACCCGGGGTGTGATTTCCAACTATGTCTCCATCCTACCTACCCTTTTCAAGGTGGCCTTCTCTCTACAGTTAACCGTGGCCAGTCTGGTCTGCCAGACTCCAGGTACCTTTCAATTAGGTGAACAAACGTAGCTGTTATCTCAGTACGTCTGAGGGACAAGGTGAGTTCAGGATCCTCCTACTCTACTCGCTCTGGAAATTCTTCAGTTTGGTCTCTAACTCAGCAAATGGTTTCATTTTGCCTTTCATAGTGGGCTGGGATACCTGATAGCATTTGACTCCATTTATCACTTTAAAGGTTTCCTTCTTAATGGCCCTTCAGTAGTAGTTTTTGACACATGTCTAATTCTAAACTTTCTAAACTATAACACTGATACCATACCAGCCTGGTTCCTTTGGTTACTGTATGGAAAAGAACAGGCTCGCCTGCTATCTTTTGAAAGCCTGCATCTGAACCTGGCCCATGGCTAGAATCTGGGAGTTGGATTTCAGGAGGGTTTCCACCATCCTAACTGGTAAGAGTGGCTCATGGTGCCTAAACTGTACAAACAATATGGTTTATGCTGAACATCTGCTTTCCTTGTAGGAGCCTGGAATTTTGGTACGTGCCAGCTAGACAGTGTCTTCGTGACGACAACCCGGGGCACTGAGGCTCTAAGGAGGTTCCCACATTGAAAGGTAGCCTACATTTCACACAGATTGTAATCAGTTGTTGCTGGGGGATTTAAATCCATCCTGGGAGAAAACTCAGAAGCTAGTGCTGGTTTTCTGCGTCCGTTGTCCTATGTACCTCTTCCTGATCTTACATGGTAACTATGAGCTCATGGGTGCAACTACATCGTAAGTCTTGTGGGTCTTCCTAGCAAATCACTGAATGTGGGGAGGGGCCCTGAGGAGTCCCTGACAGTCAGTTATAAGCATTTTTACACAAATGATTTTTTTTTTTTTTTTTTTTTACAACTCCAACGTGTTCTCTTAAAACCTGGTTAGATCCTATTAGATATAAGCGAGGCCTCAATTTCCCTCTTAATGTCATTCAAATGAAAACCTTCTATTTCCTCTCTAAAACCCAAGTATCTGAAATCGACTCACTGGGGTCCGGGTATGATCCATCGGGGCAGTGGAGAACACAGCTGTTGATTTCTTCATTTAGGAAGTATCCATATTTACAGGACAGGCATTGGTCACCGTGGCTCCCAAAGCAGGACTCACAGTTGGGGGCACACTTTCTGCATCGCTTCTTGTCAGCATGGTAGTGGCCAGAGGGGCAGCTGGAGACACAGATCCTGCATTGTGGGATGATAAGAAAGAAGGGCGGCATCACCAGAGACGGAGTCCTGGGCACTCTGGGAGATGCTCAACCACCAGCAGCCTTGATCTCAAAGATCCTTTTTAAAACACGATGGTAACACCATATCCAAAGAGCCAAATTCTGCTGTTCGAAGCTCTTTCCTGTGTAGGGTGCTCAGGCAGCAAGGCAGCCTCCCAATACCAAGTCTGCTAAGGAAGGCATGTCTTGGTCCAAACCATTTTCAGGTTCGGGACTAGCTCTTTAAAGGCGATGATGGTTAGAAACTAGAGGCTCAAAAGGAAGGTTGTGGCATGGGGTTGAGGGAAACTATGTGGAAACCACCATTTTATACAAAAAAGTTGCTAATAAGTGGTTACTTCTGTTTGTGTGTGCTGTCCCACGGATCCTCTGCGCTAGGGGCAGTGGCTGTGGGTTATTGTCTAAATTCATCTAAATATATTTAAACTTGGTTATGATACATTTAAAAAAAAAGAACTTCCTTAACTGAAGGACAGCTCTTTATTTATTCATTCAACAAATATTTACTACTGAGTACCAAGTAAAATGTCAGGCATTTTGCTGGTCTCAGCAATGAGAGGTCCTGCAGTAGCCAAGGGCCCTTCCTTTAAGGAACTGAAATGCCAGCATGCATGTAAACAGGAACTAGAACATGTCTGGGTCTGTCTGGATGGCTGAAGTGTGGACTCATGACAAGTCAGCTCCTGTAGTAAGTCTTCCCTGAAGGAGGAGGGAAAGCGGGGCAGGGCTCTGAAGCAGATAGCCTCTGATGGGCCAGCACTGCCCCAGGAGCCTCCCTGTGGACAGATCTGCACAACTCAAGGCAGAAACTGGGGGCTCAGAGTTATGGTAACCAAGCAGGTCTGCCTCAGTGCCCAGAGTGGAATAGGGAGGATGAGCAGGGCCCGGCACCTCTGCCACACAGGAATGCGGGAAAGCATCTGTTGGACTGCATGCTGGTGTTTTCATGAAGGGCCAACAGAGGTCTAACGTCAGACCTCCATGGATGGAAAGGTCTAGAGGGAAGAGCAGTCCTGTGTGGAGCTAGTTGCTCCCCTATGGCCCTTCCAAATGTGAGTAAAGACATTTGCAGATTGACAGCATACAGGGACACTTAGTATGGGTTTCAGCATTTCGAATGACACCAGGAGGCGGTGGCTAGGGCAGCAGCCTCTGTTCTCAGCTTAGGTCCTGGGAGGAGAACGTCAGCAGACATGGCTTCAGTGCAGCCCGTGGGACTGCTGGGAGCACACAGCAGGCGGGATTGGACTCAGGCTGATTCTTACCTGGTGTTGTTTTTCAGCTTGTAATAGTAGTTTAAGCAGTCACTGCAGTGGTCCGGTCCTGGCCCGTCACAGCCCACCTCACTGCACTCAGGGTCACAGGGACCTTTAAAAAAAAAAAAACAACAAACTTGGAAAACATGATTTTAAAACAGGTCTGTTTTACCTTGAATTTGGTATAAAAGTATAAAAGGAGACTTCTCTTCTTCCTTATGCAGTGAGAGCTTTTAAGGAGGAGGAATAATGTGTACCATGGCTCTGTGCATGGAGATGAACTCCTGGCGTTTTAGGGGGAAAACCTCAATTACCTAAGTATCAGGAATGAAAATCCAGTCATGGCCTGGGCTTCAAAAAAGCACATATGGCTGCCTTGTGGGAGATAACACATATCTCCGAATTCCAATGAACAATGTCATTGTGGCAACTGGAAGAGAACTGATGGCAATTAAATACGCATCATGATAAAAATGTTGGATTTACAGAAAAATGAGAAGTTAAGCTGTTGACAGAAAAAAGAAAAAAAGCTGATTATTCCACGCCTGGACCAGATTGTCTGGCTTGCCCATGGTCATTAAAATCACAGAATACCTCTGAGATGCTGTCGCCAGCAAGAAACATCATTATGGCATCTGGTGCGAGGTTATCAGTGTCTGGTCTGGGATTACAAAGCAGGTACTTAAGGCCCAGATTTAAAATTGTGTCTTACCCACAGGCTGGTGGGCAACTCAACAAAAGAAAACTAGACATACATTTTAAAAAATGCAAGCAAGCTTAAAGAATTCCAGACCTAGGATGAAAGTTGCTAATCTTTCAGGACATATTCTTTGGTCTAGAGTTAGAATTCACAGGAAGAAAAAAATGCCAAAAAGATGGGAGATTTTTATAACTGATGAAAAGCTTTCTAATGACATGGGCTAGACCTTTTGCTTGCTTGAACTAATTCCCTTTTTCCTTGTTGTCCATACTTTAGGACATTTGGGCTTGTAATCTTCAAGCTCTTTCCAGTTAAAAATTCACATGATTTTAACTAGTAATAAACATGCACAGAATGTACAAACAGTAAGTTGATATGTCGGAAATGTCTGAACCATACTTATTTAAATCAAAAGGATTTACTGTTGAACCTTGATCTCCTTTGGTCACTACAGGACTCTGTTCTACGGTTACTGAAATGGTAGAACCTCGGAGGAATGACTTAGAGAAAAATCTAGTATTCAAACACCCTCATTTACCTGGTGAGAAAACAGACTTTTTAAGAATTAGAGTGGCTTGTCCAGCATCATCAACATGGGTCCACCTTCTTAATCCAGCTCCCCTGTGTTCTCCCAAGCCTTAAAACTGATCTCTAAATAGAATTCCAGAGCTAGTGTAACTTAGGACCTATCAGCTCTCTGCTATGATACAGCAGGAGAGAGTCTCTACGTAAGGGTTGGAACTCAGCCAGCTGTGGGTCCTACAGCCCCTGGAATTTGAGGAAACAGTACTAGGAATCTGGTCATGATAATGCCATCTGTGCCTTTAGCCAGGATGACTTCTTCATGAAGGTGAAAGTCACAGCTCTGAAGAAAAGGAAACATGGGTGGCCCTAAATTTTCACCAGATGATTTCTGCAATTAACCAGCCCCCCACTAAACTTACGCTTTATACGTGCCAAAGGGCTCTGTATGGCCAGTTCACAGGCTGTGCTGTGTCTTTTGTAATCTTAAACTGTCCCAGATGCAGTTTAGCATTCTAGGTTGCAGGGTAATAATGAAATAATTGTCTTTGTTCTCTCACAAGTGCCAATGTGGATATTTCGGAGAGGTAATGAGAAAAACCACAGAGATAGAAAACCGTTTGTTCAGAATTTTGAGATTCCCAGAATGTGAATTGGAAACCTACCAGAAGGCATATAGCAACAGGTTATTAGGCTCAGTTTATGTTTTTGGATGTCCTTTCTCCCAACAGAGAAGATGAAATGGTTTGCTAGTTATCACGGGAATAGTAATGTTACAAGCTCAAAACAAAATGAGATAATCTAACACGATCGAGTTCTGGTTACCTCAGCTTGCTTGAATTATTCCAGCTTATGATGGACCCTGGGATACTACCTGTTGAGAATAAAAGGAACTATGTGCATGTTTACGATATTCTGCTAAGGTGATTAATGAAGTACTTCTATCTTTAGTTCATTAAGTGTTATGTCATATCCCAGGAGCACTGAATGCTCCTTTAAGTGGTAGTCAGTGCAGCAATACAGAAATCAGAGAGGTGCCTGGGTGGCTCAATTGGTTTAGTGTCTGCCTTTGGCTCACGCTATGATATCATGGGTCCTGGGACCGCGTCCCATGTGGGGCTTCCTGCTCAGCAGGGAGTCTGCTTTGTGCTCCCACTCTCAAATACATCAAATCCTTTCAAAAAAATACAGATGATATGGCTGTAATACCTATAATTGCCCCAGAAAATCAACTCTAAAACATAATTAATAAAAGTTGAGCAGAATGGCCTGATAGAAGATAAATATACGATGGCCAATAGATTTCCTAGATACCAGCAGATACCAGTTAGAGAATACGGCATCTTTTCCATTATAACAGCAACAAGACCCCAAAATATGTAGGAATAACACGAAAAAGAAGAATAGAACATAAAATTAAAAGATTTTGGTAAAATGGGACACGGTCTGTGTTTTGGATGGAAAGACTTACATATTATAAAAGTAATTCTTACCTAAACAATTCTTCCCATGGGATTGCATGTAAATTCACATTAAATTCCAATGGAATCTTTAGAGATGGACTTAAGAATTACTATGAAAACAAAATATTCAACAGAGAGTAAAATATAGTGTGGGTGTTACTGGATTAAGATTAAAAAATCAGAAACGGGGGTACCAGAAGAGACCCTGGTTTAAGAATTTATTCTACTATTATAAAGGAAAGACCCTGGGGTGCCTGGGTGGCTCAGTTAAGCATCTGTCTTCAGCTCAGGTCATGATCTCAGGGTCCTGGGATTGAGCCCAGTGTCGGGCTCCTTGCTCAGTGGGGAGTTTGCTTCTCCCTCTCCAATAAATATTTAAAAATGGGATGATAACCCAGCCAATAATGTTAGTCTATGTGGAAAATAAAGACAATTTTATCTCATACTATATATCATAAACCAAAATAAGTTCCAGATGAATTAATGGCCAAATGTAAAAAGCAGAGATTAGAAAAAAATGCATGTGGATATTCAGTTGATTTTAAAGATTAAAAAAATACAAGTGAGATCTGAAACTATAAACCTTACACTTTTTTTTTTTTTTTTGGTCAAAACAACAGAACACGAAACAAACTACATTTTAGAAGCAAGCAATAACTGAGGAAATGTTTTCAGGAAATATAATAGTTCCTCCCCCCACTTACCTGTAGGGGATAGCTTCTAAGCCCCCCAATGGATGCCTGAAACCACGGATAGTACCAAACCCTATATATACCATGCTTTTTTCCTACACATCCAAACCTGTGATAACATTAAATTTTTAAATTAGGCATAGTGAGAAACTAATAACAGAACAATTATATCAATATACTATAAAATCTTGTATCTATCCATCTTCTTGTGACAATGTGAGATGATACAATGCCTGCATGATGAAATGAAGTCAGGGCACTGGTACAGGCATGGTAATGTAGCATAAAGCTATTACTGACCCGATGATCTATCGGAAGATCATCAGCTTCCTGACCATTAGTAATGGGATACTACTTAATAGTAGTGGTATTACTACTAGGAAACAAGTAAGGGGGAACTACTGTATGGAAAAATGTGAGAGATAAGAAAACTGGTGCCAATTTGAATAGAAAAATGGGTACAATGCAATTATGTTTAATTCCTAGAACTAAGGAGGAAAAATGATTTACTAATAAAGCTATAAAACTTTTAAAATGTTCTGTTTGTTTTGTTTTGTTTTTTACTTTTTTTGTTTCTACTCCATTTTGGCAGGAAGGAGTATAATAAAGGCACAGCTGGTCCCAGCATAGACTGGTACATCTTGTCTGGAAAGGAATGTGACAAAATGTATCCAAGCTCTCAAACTGATTATTCCCTTTGATGCAGTAATTCTCAGAACTCCATTCTAAGGAAATAATTAAAGATATAAACAAGGACTGATAAAATAATGATGTTCATCCAAACCTTATTTAAAAGAATGTAAAACTCCCAGCAAACTACACATCCCCGATTATGTATTAAATGTAGTACAATCGTGGGATGGACTGTTACACTGTCTTTTAAATATTTGTTGTGAGGATATGTGACACCAGGGAAATATGTTCTTAATAACCACAAGAGAAAGAAAAAGAATATGAAAACTCTCTGCAGTGTGCTTTTTGCTTTGAAGAAAACAACAGTGCTGTGCGAATATATACGTGCAAATATTTGGGGAGGACTAGAAAAGAAGATGGAAGAAAATATATCAGAGTATCGCTAGAAGCTGATCTGTGCATGGTGGGGTGATGTACAGGAGTTATTTCCTTAGCCTCTGTCCCCGTTGGAAGCCAGCTCACCTGCATAATCGTCTGTGCCGTAGTCATCGGTGGGGTCTTCGACTCGGCTGTAGCGGACACGTTCTACTTTAGGAAACTCGTTGGTTGGTGAGTATGGCTGCACGGAGGTACCATAGAGGACCAAAGACCATTCTTTCAATTTTCCTTGAGAAACAAAAATGAAATCCTAGCATGAGCCCACACTCACTCTTGAGCTTTACAATTTCATTCCTTCTCATTAAGAAAAAGCAAAAGAGTTGTGCTAAGCATTTTCGTATGAATCCTAGCATGAGGGGCCGAGCTAGGATCGCACATTTTCCACCAGCTGAAGAATAACTGACCTATCACATACGTACTGACTATAGGATAAGCCTTCGTTTAATCAGCATTTATAAGACACAAGTGAGTGTCTCTCAGCTGGACCAAGGGCTGATTTCAAGTTATGGGAGTTTTAAAAGAGAACCCCAGATTTTTACAGAGGCCTTTGTCTTTCTACATATAAATACCATATTTAAATTTTTAAAATAATTTATAGAAAAGACAAAACAACTTTGTTCCATCTAACTGAATTAGTCATTTAATCTTCATAATACTTCACTATACTAAGCTATAGACCTGAGCTGTCCACTGATAGCCTCTAGACATTTGGCTACTTAAAATTTAAAAATTTAGTTCCTTGGTCATACTAACCACATTTCAAATGCTCAACAGCCATATGTGGCCGATGGCCACTACAATGGATAGCGTAAAGACAAGAGTATTTCCACCACTGCAGAATGTTCTAGCAGACAGTGCTGCAATGAACCATTTTCTGGTCAAGAGTGCCTTGAGACAGGAGCCACAGGTTTTAACTCCTTTGCAGAGAAGGTTCTCAAGGAACATTTTGCTTTAGTCCTTACTTCTTTTGAAAACTGCTTACAGGTCACTAAGCTTAAAAAGATTCACATAAAGAATCAACCATAAGCCAAAGTGATTAAGACAAAAACCATTAAAAACATGGAAGAGTGCTAGGAGGAAGCAGGACCTCCCTGAAGGAGGTCCTCCACTCAGCCAGATACAGAGAATCCAGGCATGGTGGGGGACAGGGTTCTGCCACAGCCCCAGGACTGCTGAACTTGAGGTGTCAGCTGATCCATTTATTAAGTTTGAATCCATTCAATGTTCACAATAATTGGGAGGTAGGCACTTGAATTCCCAGTACAGAGATGAGGAAACAGGCATAGACGTTGATAATTTTCTCAAAGGCACTAGAGTACAGACGGCTATTAAAACCCATCTGGGGGTTCCAGTTTAAGATGACAGTGTAGGAAGATCCTGAAGGCACCTCTTCCTACAGACTCACTGAGACTACAGCTATATAGGGAACAATCTCTGAAAAATAAAACAAAACCAACAGGCTGAGTGGCTCCCACACAAGAGGCAAACAAGAAACCCACATGAAAGCAGGTAAGAGAGGACGAGACACAATCTTGCAATAAACCTCACCCCAGGCATTGTGACCCACAATCAGGACTCAAAACCCCACAAAGTTTCTCCACAAGAAGCAAGAAGGTTTGAATCCCATATCGGCCACCATAATTTTTAAGATCTACACCTGAGACGAGTCCCCAAGACCTCGAGCTTTGAAAACGAAAAGGGCTTGAGCCCCACAAGGCTACAGTGAATGGACTAGTTTTTAAAGAGCTTGCCTGTGTGGACCCACCAGCTCCAAGGCTCAAGGCAGAGGCAGCCAATTGAAAAGTACGGACTTTCTGTGAAAGAGGCTTATCTGGTTATCTTTACATACAGCTAGGGGCCTACTGAAATACTCTCCAGTGGGTACCATCTTGGCTCTCTCCCTCAGTCTTGCTCCAACTCACTAGTATCTCCCAGAAGGAACCTGTACTCATCTGGGACCCAAATTTTTATGGCTGCCTGCCAGGGGACACCTCTTGGTTGCTGGCACTGGTGGCCAGCAGGACTTATGTTTATTGGTAACATAGGACTGTAAACAAAATGGACAGATCTATACTTCAGCTCACCCAGAAGAGAGCAAATCAAAAGCATCTAAGTCTTGATTTCAGCTCAGGTCATGATCTCAGGGTGGTGAGATCAAGCCCCACTTTGGGCTTCATGCTGAGCACGCAGCTTGCTTAAGATTTTCTGTCTCCCTCTGCCCCACCCCCCAGGTCATACACTATCTCTAAAAAAACAAAGATGCGAAGTTGTAACCAAAATAAAAATAAAAACCATGAAAATATAAAGTATTAGACTATCATCAACGAAATGAACAACCTAGAAGAAATGGGTACATTTTTAGACTTCTATAACCCACTAAGACTGAAGCATTAAGAAACAGAACATCTAGTCAGAGAAATTACTAGTAAAGAGATGGAATCAGTAATAATAATAATAATAAAAGGTCATAAGCTCCTTGCCATCGGTCTTGGTGATAATTTTTTTGGATCTAACCAAATGCAAAACCAAAAAAAGGAAAATAAGTCTGACTATATCAAACTAAAAAGCTCTGCATGGCAATGGACGCCATCAAGATGAAAAGGCAACCAGCCTACTGAATGGGAGAGAGTATCTGCAAATCATGTATCTCATGAGAGGTTAATACCCAAAACATAAAAAGAACTCCTACAACTCAGTATCAGAAAAATAATCTGATTAAAACATGGGTTGGGAATATGAATAGACATTTTTCCGAAGATGACATACATGAGGCCGGCAAGTATGCGAAGAGATGTTCAACATCACCAATTAAGGAAATACAAATGAGAACCACAGTATCACCTTGCCCCTATTAAAATGGCTATTCCTAAAAAGACAAGATCTAGCAAGTGTTGGGGAAGATGTGGAGCAAAGGGAGCCCTTGTGCACTCTTGGTGGACACGTCAATCAGTGCAGCTGTGATGGAAACCAGTATGGAGGTTTTTCAAACCATTAACAATAGAACTATCATATGATTCAGTTATTCCACTTCTGGGTATATCTGAAGAAAACAAAAGCATTAACTTGTAAAAGTATATGTACTCCCATGGTATTCAAAATAGTCAAGATATGGAAACAACCTAGGTGTCCACTGATGGATAAATAATAAAAATGTATTTTTACCAGCGGTAATAATACAGTAGAATCACATTCATAAAAAGGAAGGAAATATTGCCATTTGTGAAAACATGGATGGATCTTGAGGGCCTTCTGTGAATTGAAATGTCAAAGACAATATTATATGATCTCACTTGTATGCTGAATCTAAAGAAAACCCAGAATTACTGTGATCATTTTGCAATACGTACAAATATCAAATTATTAGGTTGTATGCCTGAAACTAATATAATGTTACATATCAATTATATCTCAATTAAAAAAAAAAAGAAAAGCCATTCAGAAGCCAAATGCTGTTTTTTTGTGTTGTTGTTAGAGAGACTGAGTACACAAGCAGGGGTGGGTGGTTGGGGGGAGAGAGGGAGAGAGAATCTTAAGTAGGCTGCATGCCCAGTGTGGAGCCCAAAGTGGGACTTGATCTCATGACCCTGAGATCATGACCTGCACTGAAATTAAGAGTGAGATGCCTAACTGACTGAGCTACTCAGGTGCCCCAAATGCAGTGTTCTTAAACCATTATATGAAACAACCTTCCTGTTTATTTCCAAGAGTTTAGAACCTTTAAGTTTAAAAATCAACATATTCTATGCCACATTCATTGTTGTTTGACATTTGCACTGGGCCAGCCCATTGGTTTATATGTGTTTGCCCTCTGCCAGCTTTTCCTTGGACTTACATGTTAATGACTATGCTTTTCATAATTAGGGTGCCGTTCGGTCTCAGAATTCCAAGTGTTCTACATTACGTAGTGGCAAGAAATGAATGTCTAACTGAAATTCATGACCCGCTTGCCTTTACATAGCAATGCAAAAGAGAACACATTTTTCTTTGGCAACTCTCAGGTATACAAATGGAGCATATAATGCAAGGACACTATCGGAAATCCAATCCATCAGTCACCCTAAAACCTGGCTCATTTAACTTAAGAACAGTTTGGATCTAAAATTTACCCTTGTATAATACTTGTAAGGATGCTGACTCATAATTGATTATTTCCATTTGTGTCCTTTCTGAAATGTCTTGTAAGCCCACTGGGGACATACTTGTTGGGCAATTCATCCCTTTATGTTTCACGTATTATGTAATCTTATTTCCTTAGAATCTAACACAGTTCACATCAGATATTGCCATATTTGGGCCATCATGTTCCCCTTATCATAATGTTTTCCATTTGCTAAATTACTTAGGAGATTTTGCAGTTGATGACGCAACTTTCTGTTAAGAAATCACCGTGTAAATACAGAATGAGAAAAACCTATTGTACATGTTGGTACAAAAGTGCAATCTGCCCGAGGATGAAAACCCAAGATAGGTCTAATGTCTAACAAAACAAAGACAACGATTAAAAAAAAAAAAAAATCCTTCCTATGGACTTCTAATTCAAGATGTGGGAAGACCCTGAATTCATCAACTCCACAGACACAATCTCTTCCTCCTTGACGTAGAACTAAGTGCTGACTGAACAGGTTCCATACAAGATAGAGCACATAGAGAATGGCAAGAAAGATGGAGACAGAGTCATAAAGGGACTTTGCCCTCCCCCAACACCATGAACTGCAGCAGTTTAAAAGGGCAACTAGAACATGTAAGATCCAGCCCTAGAACTCCACCAAATGGCAGGGGCATTTGTGGAAATATCTCCAGGTTGGAGGGGCTGGTGAGTGCCACGGTTTGCATTCCCCCTCCACCGTGATAGCACAGAGAGGAGCAGGGTCTAGAGCCAATGCTGTTCTGCTGCCTTAGTGAGCTCTGGGCCCTTAGCCCACACTTTTAAACATTTAAAAGAGGAACTGGAATTTAAAGGATCCAGCTGAAAGTCAGCCAAATTGTGGGAGATGCTGGAACTCCCTCTGGCTCAGAGAGGCTGGTGAGTGCCATGGTCTGTGTTCCTCTTCCACCTTGATAGCATAGACAGGAACATGGTCGGGATGCCCTTGTCAGTTACTACCTCCATAAACCCCAAACCCCTAGCCCACATCAGCCCCAGCTGTCCCACCAAGGCAGTCCCAGCGTGGTGCACACTGGGATACCTGGATCAGTGCTCACTATAGTTCTAGCCATCTCACCAAGGT